TCAGCCTCTCAAGTAGATGGGATTGGAGGCATGTGTCACTGACCCAGCTTTTCCTTTTTTTTTTTTTGGTACTGGGGATTGAACTTGGGTGCTTGTGCTTGCGCAGCAGGCAACAAAACCACTGAGCTAAATGCCTGGCTAGCTCTTCATTTTTGAAAGCTACTCTCACCACATATAGAATTTCCTGGTTGATGGATGTTGTTGTTATTTTCTTTCAGTACTTTAAATATGTAACCTCAGTGCTTTCTAATCTCCATAGTTTTTGCTGAGAAACTGGCTGTTAATTTCTTAGAGGGTACCTTGTACATGATGAGTCGCTATTTGCTGATTTCAACATTCTCTTGATGTTCATAATCCCCCTCCTAGTGGTGTATGTAGAGACATTTATTACAATTGATTACCTCCAGTCTTCTTTTTTAATTAGTGTGGTTTGTGATTCATAATAATTAACATTTATATTGGAGAATTGGTGTATATCACAGCTTGGTCATTTTTACTCCCCCATCCACTTCCTGCCCTCTTGTCTCCCCAGTCTTTGATTTTTGACAGTTTGATTATAATATGTGTCAGTGTGAAGTTCTTTGTGTTTATCTTGTTTTCTGTTTTTCCGGCAGGATATCAGTATGTTGCCCAGACTGCTTTGAACTTCTGGGGTTAAATGATCATCCTCCTTTACCCTCTCAAGTAGCTAGGACTACAGGCACATGCAGCACACTTCACAGCCAGCTCCCAGCTGGTCTGTCTGTCTGCCTCCCTGGCCCCCCAACCCTTTCTTTTACTGAGAATTGAACCTAGGGCCTTGTACGCGTTAAACTGGCACTCTTAACACTGAACTATAGTCTCAACCCTGTAGATGATTTTTTAACACATTTGCATTTTCTGGTGATATTCTCTACTAGTTTATGTATCCCACTGGCATGTTCCATCTCTTTCCTTCAACATATAAATCAAGTTATTTAAATATCTTTAATCCAGGTTTCTGTTTCATTTGTTGCCCTGCTTCATTCATTTAGCAGTTTTCTGTTTATTACTTCTTTAATTACTTTATCATCTTAGTTTTTTTTTTTTAAATACCAGAAAGCTGTGCTCTCCAACATTGTGGTGTATACATTTGACTCCATTCCTCGCCATGTCTTCACACAAGACTTTCAGAATGAAGAGACTCCTGGCCAAAAAACAAAAGCAGAATCGTCCCATCCCTCAGTGGATTCAGATGAAAACCGGTAATAAAATCAGGTACAACTCCAAGAGGAGACATTGGAGACGTACCAAGCTGGGTCTATAAGGAATCGCACATGAGTTCACACACATATTGAAGCTGTGTTAAGATCACTGTCATTTTATTATGTCAAACTTAAAATGTCTCAATGTTTAGACAGTTAGACATGTTTATTAGGAATATGCTTTTTGGTTTTGTTGAAATGGTTTGTACTAGTAGGTTCGATTAGTAATAAATATGTGGAACCTTTTGTTTGAAAAATAAAATTTTTGACCATGTGCTAGAATTTAACATTTTGTTGTTGTTCTGTTGGTTTTGTTTGTTTTGCCATCTTGGGGATTGAACCCAGTACCTGAGAATACTAAGCAAGTGTTCTATCACTGAGCTAAACCACCGGCCCTTAACATATAAAAAGAAACCCATTTGTCAATTTGAGGCCATTCAATTCTCCACCTGTTTCACTACAGTTCTACATTAGTGCTAAAATTTATCAACTTCTCTTTCTCCCCAGTAATGGCTCTCTGATCCGATCCTTGATCTATTCCCCCAAATAACAGGTGATTTAAAATGGCTCCTCAATCAGTTTACACTTCTAAATTGTTTTCCTTATTCTGTAAATATTGTTTAGTCTTCCATGCTTCCACTCCTCTCTAGTGTTTTTGTCATTTGTGTAATTTAGGTTTTTCCTGGTTATCAGTGGAAACATTGACCCACTAGGAACTACTACATGGGTAAACCCAGTTTTTCTCGAAAGGCTTTGTACATGTGTATGGTTTCTATCTCAATGTGTCAGCTGCCAATGTGTTGCACAAAAGTAGCTCCAGACACACATGCATGAATAAGCATGTGGTCTACCCTGGTCTGCACCCTACTGGACAGGTAAGACCTTGCCAATATTGTTTTGTTTGCTTTTTGAGACAGGATTTAACTGAGTTGTCCAGTGTGACTTTGAACTGCACCCTCCAAATACCTAGGGATAGTTCCTCTTATATTTAACCATTTGTAATTGTATTAGTCAAGGGTCCCTGGAGAAACAGCAGATAGTGTTGGGCAGGAAGTTATGCATCAGTAGGTGTGGAGACAGGTGGCTGGAGACCAGGTGGAGCTACAGGAGAAGCAAAGAGATATTTGAATTTTTTTCCTTGCTTAATTTTCTTTCATTAGCTGTAGATGAAATCCAAACAAATTGATGATCTCAAGCTATGGCCAAAAAGAATGTAATCTCTGAGCATGTGGATGAGATGGAGGATCCTAAAGAAGTCCAGACCTTGAGCAAGACCTTGGAAAAAGCTTCAATGTCTCAAAACAGCTAAATTTAAACATTGCACTGAGAGAGTAGTTAGGAGCCTTTTTTCCCTTGTAATTTGTTTTTCTTTTTCTTTTTTTTGGTACTGAGGATCGAACTCTGGTCCTTGTGCTTGCAGAGCAGGTGGCAGTTCCCTTGTAATTTTATCAAAACAACTCCATTTATCCTTGTAGCACAAATATGGCCTCAAAGGAGGAAATTATATTCCTTGACCCAATTATCATAAATGTGGCCTGAATCTTAATTTGGGTGTCTTTTCAATTTGTACTTCTCTTGTACAGCAGACCTGCCTATACTCTGTACTAATGTTTTTGTGTCTTGCTTGAACTCTGTTTTTCCCCCAGCCTTTGCATTGAGCTGTAGTAAGTCCCTGATTTACAAACGAGTTCCATTGCTGGAGAACGTTCATAGGTCAGATTTATTGGTAAGTCCAAGAGAGTGAGTCTTACACACCTTTGACACAGATATACAATGTAAAGCATAAAAAACCAAACCTCCACATCACCACTGCTTTTCCTCTTGCTTCTGGATATCCTGGGCTCTGACTGAGCACTGTACTACTACACTATCACACTGTATAGTAAGCACACAGCAGTATAACTGTGACGCAATTGGGCAGAAACGTGAGCTATTTCCCAGTTTGTTCTCATCTACATAATGCAAGGTCTGTTCATATTTGAAGTTTGCAACTCAAATGTTTCTAAGTCGAGGACTGTGTGTGTGTGTGTGTGTGTGTGTGTGTGTGTGTGTGTGTGTGTATATATATATATATATATGCCCACCCCCCCTTTTTAATTTTTTGAAACAGACTTGCTTGCCCAGGCTAAGCTTAAATTTACATTCCTGCTGCTTCAGCCTCCCAGAAGGCTGAGATTGATTACAGGTGTCCACTACCTTCCCACCAGATTTTTAAATTTTGAGACAAGTTCTCACTAAGTGGCCCAGGCTGAGCAAGAATTGCTCTTGCCTTGGGCTCCCAGAGTGCTGAGATTACAGGGGTGCTCCATCAAGCCCTGCTTGAAGTATGTTTTGTTACTAATTTAACCCAGTTTGTCTGGCCTTGACTCATTTTTCTGGTACCCAGTCCTGAGGCGCGTAAGGCAGGCATCTTGTGATAAAGGGGTTTAATCACCTGATTAATGGGTATGGTTCTGCCACCACAGAGCTGGTGGTCCTCATGACCACCTATCCAGGGAGTCCTATGATGACCACCAAGGGAATATCATCCAGGCTCCTCAGAACCAGGCATAGCCCAGTGTTACCAACTCCTTGGGTTCTTGTGCTATCAGAAGAATCAGAAGCACCTTGGGACAGTAACAAGGCTTTTTTTGTTATGCTCAAGCACAGTAGGGAACGCCCCGGAGTATAAGAACCCTAGGCTGACGCAAACAAAGGACAAAAGTATATAGTTTTTAAGACAACTATGGGGTAGGCTGGAACTCAATCTCATGATGTTTAGGGTACACAAGAAAAAGGGCTGGAATGAATACCACCAAAAAAGAAAAAGCCCCATGTTGGAGGTGGTGGCACAAACCACTGAGGAGGCTGAGGCAGGAGAATCACTTGAGTTCAGGGTCAGTTGGGGCTAATACAGTGAGTTCAAGGCCAGCCTGGATTACATAGAGCCTGCCACAAAGTCCCTCCCCACCCCTACGCGCCACAAGTCAGCCCTATCATAGTTATTCTTGTTTTGTGGTCCTAAAGATGGAGCCCAGGGCCTCAAACATTCTAGGCAAGCACTGTATCAGTGACTGGAGAGTTACCCTGGAACATTTGCGCTGAACTATATCCCCATCCCTTTTTATTTTTTTATTTTGAGACAGTCGCTAGATTGCTAATTTGCCCAGGCTGGGCTCCAAATTGCGACTGTCCTGCCTCAGCCTCCCAGTGTGCTGGGCTTTTGGGAGGACCACTTATTTGAATCGCAAACTTGAAAGGGTCCTCAGAAAACTATGATAAAGACACATTTTAATGCGATATTTAAGACATATGGATCTGTAAACTGTTATGCCGGGGCCTTTTCTCCTAATCAAAGTGTGCTGTCAAAATTCCCGAAATGCTCTCTAAGCCTCCCCAGGAACGAAGGTCCAGCTTTGCAGGGAAGCCCTGGGGCTGTCCGGAGGAAGCGCCCAGAGAGGCGAACCCGCTTCGTTCTGCCGCCCTTCCACCCGCCCACTCTACTCGCTTCTCCCTGATTGGCTGGGCTGCTGCAGGCTCACGCTTCCATTGGCCAGGACTCGGGGTAGGCGGAGGCAGATTTACCTCAGCCGGACCTGGCGAGGCGGTCTTTCCGCGCTTCGCTTGTGGCACTCGGAGGTTGAGGAGCGAGGCGGCGGACTCCGTTTCGCGCAAGGTACGCAGTTGTCTAGGAGCGGCCCGCGCGAGCGGCGGTTGGCGGGGCGGCGGCTGTGGGGCGCTGCGGGGGCTCCCGCGCGGCGTGGCGAGTGGGGCGGTTGCGGCGAGCCGGGGCTGGGACGCGTGTGGCTGCCGGGCCGCGGGGCGCGGGGCTCGGGGCGGGCCCGGGGTCGGAGCTACTTGGAGGCGGCCGCTGCCGAGTTCTTCCCGCCGGTAAGTGAGCGCCTTGCTCTCGGCCCAGGGCGTCTACAGGCGACCCCCAACCTGGTCGCCTGTTCCGAGGGGCCTGGAGCCGTTCAGGTGGTCTCTACCTGACATGGCCCCAGGTGCCTGAAGTTAGCTGGACCCGGTCGGTCAAGTGTTGGGAGGCGGTAGACCCGAGGGAGGGCGCACAGTTGAGGAAGACCCTAGCATGACAGGGACATAAAGCTGGGATATGGCTTTTTTTCGTGATCCTGGGAGGACCTTTGAACCCAGAACCTCTGCAGTGAGCTACATCTCAAGCCCTTTTAAAATTTGTTGTGAGGAAGGTCTTGTTAAATCGTGTAGTTGTCCCAGGGTTAGGCTCGAATTTGTCGTCCTTCTGCCTCAGCCTCCTAGTGTGCGGGGAGTGCAGGTGTGCGCCACCATGCCGCTTGGAATACAAACTTTACCAATACAGGTTTATTCTGGTTTAATCCTGAGGAGACAAAAACAAAATGGCTGACAGGGGGGACAGCAGCCCAGGGTAATGTTGGCCGAGAGCAGTTTTACTTTTTCAGCCCAAGCAAATTCCTCCTTGCAGACCCTGCTCTGAACTGATGCCCACCCCAAATATAGGTCTCCCTTATCTATTCCTCCTTAGCAGACCCAGCCCTAGAGTGATGCCCACTCCAAGTACAAGTCTCCCTTATCTATTCCTCTTTGGCAGACCCTACGCTGAAGAGATGCATATTCCAAATATGTGTCTCCTTTATCTAGCCAACCTTACCCTGAACTAATGTTTTCTAATCCGGAGTTTGAATTTGCTATCACAATCAGTAATAATGATATCATATGTAACCAATCAACTGCTTGCTCTGCTTCTTAGTTCCTGTTTGCAAACCCTATGTAAACTGTAGAAGGACAAAAGACAGCTGCTTGGTTCTTTGAGGAACTGTCCCGACCAGCCCGCCCGCCCCCGCCCCCCCCCCCACATAATAAAGTTTGCTTTCTGCCTCCCGAGGCCTGAGTACCTTTCCGTGTTTCCCATCTGCCATTACACTGAGAGTCTTTTTAAAAGTAAAAATTTATCTTTTATGGATGCCTGGAAAAGGAAAAAGAAACAATTTTTCTTATCTGCTGTCTCTCACCTTTTTCTAATTTTGGCAGACAATTTCAAGGCTGTATCTAAACAAAAGAAACAATAACCACTCTGTCTCTCTGCTTAAAACCCTACTGAGAAAACTGACTTATGCCTTGGCATGTTTCTATGTTAAAGATGAACTTTCTTTTCTTTTTTTTTTTTTTTTTTTTGTTTGGTACTGGGGATTGAACTCAGGTCCTTGCGTTTTCGAGGCAGGCGGTGGAACCATTGAGCCAAATCCCGGGCCCAAAGATGAATTTTATAATGTAGTAAGCCAGTACAAGTTGCTTGTTAATTTACGAGGTGATAGGTATTAACGCTCTTAAGATTTGTATATGGTCACAAATTCACAATCTAGAAAGACAGTTACATTGAGTAATTCACATTAGAAAAATTATATCCACCTAAATGCAGTTACTATACATTGGAACTATTTTCATTGGGATTTTGTCATTAGCTAATAGCCAATAAATGACTAGCAACAGAAATATTTGCAATTTAAATGAGGAAAGAATATTCAAAACAAAGATAATTGAGATAACAAAAGCTTTTGAAAACACAAAAATGGAGCTTCTAAATGAAGGACAATCACATTGAATTCAGCTTTCCTGACATGCTTTCATTTTAATCATTCAGGTTATTTTTAGAAGTGCTGAGGAATCTGACCTTAATCCACTTTATTTTATTTTTAATATTTTGGTACTGGGGATTAAAATCGGGACCTTGCGCTTGCGAGGTAGGTGGTGGAACCACTGAGCTAAATCCCCAGCCCATCCACTTTTAAATCTCATCTACAGAGATGCACAGATCACATCCTAATATTAACTTTGGCTCAACAGAAATGCATGAGCAATGATTTAATTGGAAATGATTTATATGCTTCTAAGAACTGGTGTGATCTTTGCTGAGCATAGTGGCACGCGCCTGTAATCACAGCACTTGGGAGACTGAGGCCAGAGGATGGTTGTGAGTTTGAGGCCAGCCTGAGCTTGGTAGTGAGATCTTGTCCTAAAAAAACCAAAAATAAATACATAACGGGTTTAATCTAGATATATCTTGAATTTTCTCCCCTGCTTACCCTTTGACCTTGTACTTCATTGCACCTCTCAATTCTGCCATATTTCCTTGCTACTTAATATTTTGACTTTTATTGTAGAACTATTGGGTGATCCCTCAGTTTTTGCCTGTGCAGATACCATAGTTTTCTTCTGATGAGTGTGTACAGATACACTGGTACATGCCTGCAATTCTAGCACTTAGGAACTAAGTAAGGCAGGATGATCTCAAATTTTAGGCCAGCCGGGGCTACATAATGAGGCCACCCCCCAAAAATTCCACCCAGATTTATTTCATTCAATGCAGTCAATTTTAACATATTGGATATTTGCTTTTAAATTTTTTTTCTAGCATTAATATGGATGAGTATTCTTAATAGGTTGAGTAAGAATACAAAATGCAAAGAACCATATTCTATCTCATTGTCACATATTCTTACATCATTTACTTATTTATTCTGCTGGCTGAAGCTTAAACATACTATTAAAGTACATTACAATTGACTCAGATAACTTTTTAATCTTCATGTTTACCAATCTGAGGAGAGCAGACCACTCAGACAATGTCTAGAGAGAAATAACTAAATTTTAGAGGGAGGGGAATTGATAACAGATGTACTATAACTTGAACTTTTGAACTCTGTAAAAGATATTTTATTAATAATTATATAGAAGCATTATATAGAACAATTAGCAATTACATAGAAGCATTAAATAGGGTGATTTCTATTAGTATACCTCCAAGCCTCTGCTGTGCATAGTGCTGTTGAAGTAAAGGCATATAAGGTAGCCATGGCAAAAGTTGTAAGACCTATTCTGGTGCTCTTTGTGAAGGAGAATATAACTCAATGTGGCTTTCTAGAGCACTGAGCTACATCCCCAGACCATTTTAAAATTTTTAATGGGGTTCTTGATAAGTGGCTGAGTTACCCAGGAAGATTCAAACTTGTGATTCTCCTGAGGGCTAGGGTTATGGTTCATTGGTAAAGGGCTTGCACAAGGCCCTGGGTTCAATCCCCACCACTAGCACCAACACACACAAACACACACACACACAAAGTCATATTAAAAATAGAGATGTTTCTTTTGGGGCCACCAATCTAACAGGAATAGTGTGGGAAGAAAAACGGCACAATCATTATATGTACCTATAGCTTCCAAACTATATGAGAAAAAAAGCAATTACTAAATTAAGAGAAATAGACAAATCCAGAATCATAGTATTCTGTCTCCTCTCTTCTCTCTCTTTTGGTGGTTCTGAGGATTAAGCCTTGATGCGCTTTACCACAAAGCTAGCTAACCAGCTCATTCATTCATTCATATATTTATTATTAGGTTTCTTCTTTGAGATAGTTTTGCTATTTAGTTTAGACTGCTCTTGAACTCATTGTGTAGCCCAGGCTGGCCTCAAACTCATTGCAGTTCTCCTCCCTCAGCTTCCGAGTGCTAGGATTACAAGCTTGCACCACTATGCCTGGTTTATGTATTTATTGAGACAAGGTTTTGCTGAGTTCCCCATGCTGGCCTCAAAGTTAATATCTTTCTGCTTCAACCACCCCAGTAGTGAGAATTACAGGCGTAAGCCACTATGCCCACCATAGTGTTGTATGTGTCTACTCTTAACATTCTTGTATTAATAGCTAGAAGTTCATAAAAAGCACAGTTAAGAAATTTGATCTAGTTGAGATATATGCATATATCACCAAACAGTGCTGGAATACACATCCTGTATGCTGGGTCTGATGGCACGTACCTGTAATCCCAGCTACTTGGGAGCCTGAGAAGGATCACAAGTTTGAGGCCAGTCTGGTCAAAATAGTGAGACCCCCATCTAAAGACAAGGAAGAAGGAAGGGAAGATGGACACATTATGTTACATATGTATGAAATTTGAATTACAAATTGACCATGAAGCTGGCCTCAACTGCTATGGAATTAAGCTAACTTTATTTCTATTCTGGCCTGTTGAGATGGGGTCTTGCTATGTAGCTCAAGCTGGCCCGGAACTCCTTCCTCCCACATCAGCCTCCTAAGTGCTAGGATTACAGGTATAAACCATCATGCCTTGGCTAATCTAAATTGGAATAACAAAAATGTAACTTAGAGTTCCACAATTGCTTGGAAATGAATCATTTCTCTTCTTCTTTTGGCTCTTGCTGTAGTTCCGGTTGGCCTTGAATTTACTATGTAGCCCAGGCTGGCCTTGAACTTGCTATGATTCGCCTGCCTCAGCCTCCCAGAGTGTTGGTATTATAGGTGTGCACCATCATACCCAGTGATGAATCCTTATTTTTCTATGTACAGTGAAACCTCAGTTTTTGAGTGGCTCTAAGCTCAGACTTTCCACTATTTGAACACAAAGTTTAAAAAAATCTCCTCAGTGTTCATATCTTTGCTCAGTAGTCAAATTGAAAATCCGACTTGATAAAACCTGTACCAGCCAAGAGTGGGTCACGTGTCACATCTTGCCTCACACACAAAAGGGTAACATTTTAGTCTAAGTGCTGCTGTGGCCCAAACAACGTATAATGCTTATGTTAGGGCCTTAAAACATTGGTCATTGTGCTTTTTTTTTTTTTTTTTTGGTACCAGAGATCGAGCTCGGGACCTTGGGCTTGCGAGGCAGGCAGTGGAACCACTGAGCTAAATCCATGGCCCTTTTGCACTTTATTCATGTAAAATATTATAACCATGGCTCCAGAGAAAGTTAGTTGTAAGAGCTGTCAAGCTAACAAGAAAACTGAGAACCACAATAGAGTTAAAGAAATCATTGTGAAAATTGTTAAAGACCTGGAAAAATGAATTTATAAGTATAACTTTTGGGCCTTGGAACCAGTTATATGGTTTTCTGTTATTTCTTATAGGAAAAATAAGTTCAGTTCTCGAACTTTTTGGTGTTCCAACACGAATTTGGGACAAAATGAATTTGACAACCAAAGTATCAGTGTAATCCACAAATCAGAAAAAATTATTCTGAAAATTAAAAAATATTTTGAGCAAAATGCAGATGAGATTTATCAAAATTTATGAGCTCAACTAAAGTAAAGTTCAGAAGAAAATGTGTAGCTTTGAATATAAAGTTATTAGAAAGGAGAAAAAGTTTTCACATAAAGTGGAATAAAAACAGTCCAGTCTACTACTCTGTAATCTCATTTTAGTTGTGTCAGAAAATCCTGCTTTACGAAGAATAGGATGTTAGAAGTGCAAGTAGGCTTTTTGGTGCTATTGTGGCTGTCTCAGAATAGTCTGCCTTGATTTTAATCCAGAATGCACAACAATTTGAAGTTGTCTCAAACATATTTTTAAGGCATTTGTGATGTTAAGCAGTTTATCTTCTAATACAGACAAGGTTGATTTGCATGGCTTATTCACAAACAGGTCATGGATCCATTCTTTCCCAGTTTGGGGGTCTTTTGTAGTAGAGGAGTAATGCTGAAACTCATTTGAAAACTGAGGTAGATGGTCATGCACCTGCTAGGAGAAAGAAGGCCCTAATTCTGTCTTTCAAAATCACTGTTAAAATTGAAACACCTCAAAAATACCAAAGTTCATTAATCATTTCCATAATTCCAGTTTGCCTTCAAATGCAACACTTTTATCTGCCAACTTAAATACAGTTGTCATTCTCCCCTGAAGTGACAGACTAAGTTCCTTGGCATAGGTTGAGTATGTCACATGAGTTAGAAAGTTTGACAACTCATTCTGTACTGAAGTGTGCTGCCAGTGGTGGATTTTTCTAAAAGAAATCTCTGATAACAGCTCTTACAAGTAAAGAACTGACCAGTGTTCTACCTTTAAAAAGCCATCTCACTTCTGTATAAGAGAAGACATTTGTGCTCTTCATTCATCACCTTACAGAGCTACATGAATAAGTATGAGTTAAAGGCATGTACTTTAATATGGTTAATAATGAGTTCCTGTGACATTTTCAACTAGCCAGTATTTTTCCACAGATAACAGTGTGTAGACTCATCTTAAGCATCCTCTTGGACTTGAGTAGTGAAACCAAAAAGCTATCTAGTCATGTCAGTTGTTCCACTGGTGGATATACGGACACAGAATGACCACTTTAGTTTTCCTGGTATGTAATCAAAGACTTGATTAGTTCTGTAACTATGATGTTGGCTGGCAAAAAAAGAAAAGTGCACATAACATAACCTCATGTACATCTTCCTGAAAAATATATCACACAAAAACAAGCATTGTTGCCTTGTCAACATCACTGGACTCATTCATCAACCTGGATCATGTACCACAGTGACTCAGTTAATCCTCACTAACAGTTGTGCCTCAATGTTCTCTGTGATTTTATCAGTCGATCTAGTTATGGTGCTACCAAACAAAGAACCATGTGCCGCCTTTTGAATTGCAGTTTTTCCTAAAAGTTCATGACAAATGTCCTTAACAGTAAGCAGGATTAACTCTTTACCCATAGTTAAGAGCTTCTTAGCTTTAGTAATGCAGTTAGCTGCTAAAGAATGATGCTATCAGTAAAAGACACATTTGATGAAGTGGCGGACTCCAATAATTGCTTCTGTTCTATGTTCACAAATTTTTCTTTTCAATAAAATCTAAAGGCTTGTCTTAATGTAGAGTGTGGTCTCCACATGGCAAAGCAATTTTGAAAGCTTTGTTTGGATGGCTGGTCCCCACATATTATACAGACATTCCTTGTTTAACAACTGAGTTCTGTTCCTGCAGCTAGGTTGTTAAGTGAATTGGAATGAGGAATGTGTATACAGTATGTAAATTGCAATATTCAGGAAAAAATGGTCAAAGGAAACTCCCAACTTGATAACTTTGCTTTTATTTGCATAACTCTTACATGCAGTAATGTTATGTGAAACAACATAAAACTGCAGCATTGTACTATACAGTACAGTCAGCAGAAATTATAGTACTGTATAAACAACGGCGACTCTACCCCCAAAAAAGACATTGAGGCTTTGTACAGATGTGGAGGACTATATGAAAAATAGCAAAAATATGGGTCATAAGTCCAATCACTTGTTAAACAGGTAGGTTATTATACAAGGAATATCTGTACAAAGCAGGCTCAGAGAATATGAATCACCTGTTGCAATGAACTCATAAGACTATATTGTCTGTTAAATGCAGCTTTCTTTTTGTGGGCAGTCTTAGAGTCTACTGTCTCGTCATTGAGTCTTCCCCCTTTTCCAAGAAGCTCACTAGTGATAATTATTTTTCACTTAGTTTGGCTTGGGTTACCTTGTGGGTTTACCAAAACTAGGACTGAGGCATGTGTCTAGTGCAGGAAAGAGGTGTAGACAGAACTGGTAAATAAAATGAGTGGGCCATGCATGGACTCAAATAAATGTTGAATTCTGACATTTGTCACCACATGTAGCTGTATAATTTAAGTACATCACTCATTACTGTAAACCCTGCCCCCATATGTAACTTAATATCACTTGTTACTGATAGGGTCTTGATATGAATTTGAAGTTACTTATTACGGTCTGTGCAGTCAGGTCTCTCTGCTAAGGTTAATATGTATGGGCCGTCACTCCCCAGTACTAGCATCACTGCCTCAGCTCCACCTCAGATTCTGAAGCATTAGATTCTCATGAGTACATAGCCTAGATCCCTGATATGTGCAGTTCACTATTGGGATCATGCTCCTGTGAGAATCTAATGCTGCTGCTGATCTGACAGGAGGTGCAGCTCAGGCAGCAGTATGAGCAATGGGGACCACCAAATACAGATGAAGCTCTGCTCACTGCTCACCTACTTTTTTATGACCTGGTTCCTAGAAAGCCATGGACTGGTATCAGTCTGTGGCCTGGGGATTTGGGACCCCTGACAGAAAAGAGTCTATAATTATTGGAGTTTTGGATTTGGCTTGACATATATTTTGATTGGGTTTTTTTGTTCATTTGGAGACAGGGCATGCTCTGTAGTCAAGGCTAGGCTTGACCTCTCTGTGTAGATCAGGCTGCCCTCAGCCTTACAATCTTCCTGCCTCCAGAGTGCTGTGAGTATAGGCATGTACCAACTCCCCAACTAATTATTAGATTGATAATTGAACTTAATGAACTAACTGATGCAATCAATTTAAAAAGCACAGACTTTCTGTGTAATAGAATTAAGTTTCAAAATGACCCTAAAAATCTGATACTTAGGTCACTAAAGGGATAGAGAAGATCCAACACATGTAAAACTAAAAGTACAGTGGAATACATGAATACAACTATCAATAATGTCAAATGTGAGTGGATTAAACAATCCACTTAAATAGTAGAGATTGTCAGACTGGAGGGGGAGAAAATCCAACTATATACTGTCTAAAGGCAACACATAAGATTCTAAGACAACAGTTGAATGTAAAAAGATAGAAAAAGATTTATCATGCAAATAGCAATCATTAGAAGATTTACCATACTGTTATCAAACAAAATAGAGCAAAATTAAATATATTGTAAGAGATATAAAGAGGGACATATTGTAATAAAAGTTTCTTTAGGAAGTTGTCACAAAATATGTGCACCTAGAAAAAGCACACCAAAATATGTAAAGGAACTATTGACAGAATTGAAGAAATACACAGTTGAATGATAATAATTGGAAACACCAATCTACCACTTTTCATAATGAATAGATAACTAGACAGATCAGCAAGAAAAAAGACTTGAACAATATTGTAAACCAGCTACTTGAGAGAATTAGTTTGTACTCAAGGTGGAACTTAGGGCCACTCTACCACTGAGTTACATCCCCATACCATTAAAATAAAATTCTTTTGATAACAGTCTTGCTAAATTGTCCAGGCTTACTTTAAACTTTCAGTCCTCATGCCTCAGCCTCCCATGTAGCTGGGATTTCAGTTATGCCCCACCACCACAACCAGCAAGAGACATTCTTTGGATACTGCACTCATCAGTATCAGAATATATATTTTTTCTCATAGAAATTTTTCTACTATAAAAGTACTAGGCCATAAAATAACAAATTTTAAAAGATTGAAATCATAAAAAGTAAGTTACATGAAGTGTTGAGTCTTCTGGCAGACACCTATAATCCCACAACATGGGAGACTAAGGCACAAGCAACATGAGTTCAAGACCAGCCTGGGCTATGTAGCAAGTTTAAAGCTGGCCTTGACTAGGGAGATCCTGTCTTCAAAAAGTTTAAAAAATAATAATTTGACCACAATAGAATGAATTTAGAAATTGATACCAAAAAGCGATATTCACAAATGTGTAGAAATTAAAACACTGGTAAAGAACTAATTAGTCAAAGAAAAAATCATGAAGGAAATAAGAAAATACTTTGAGATGAATGAAAATGAAGATGCATTATACCAAGACTTTTGAGAATGTAATTAAAACAATCATTGGGAAGAAGTTGATAATGATGAATGTCTGTATTAGCAAAGAAAGAGATCAGATCAATAACCTATCATTTCATGCTAAGAAACTAGAAAATAGAAAGCAGAACCTAAACTCAGCACAATGAAGTATAAAACAAAAGTTACAACAAAAATTAATAAAATTGAAAATAGGAAAAAATAGAGAATACCAGGGAAGCCAAAAATAGAGAAAATCACTTAAACCAAAAGTTGTTTTTTGAGAAAATTGACATTTAGCTACCCTAACAAAGAACTAAAAAGGGAAAGAAGATTCAAATTACTAAACTAAATGGTGAATTGAGGGGCTATTGCTGTTGACTTTGCAGAAATTATAAATATTTAAAGGGAATATTACACAGCAATCCAATTGTATGCCCTGGTTTTAAATGAATGAGGTACACAAATTCCTAGGAAGACAGACTACCAAAAATAATTTAGAATGAATGATACACATATAAACAAGGCTGTAACAAGTGAAGACATTTAGGACCCAAAATCCAGAAATCCCATTGCTTTCCTGGTGAATTCCACATATATTTAAAGTTTCTAATTCTTTTATCTTTTTTACAAAAATTAGATTTGAGGTTTTTGTGTGTGTGTGTGTTTTTGTACCAGGGATCGAACTCGGTTCCTTGCACTTGTGAGGCAGACAGCGGAACCACTGAGCTAAATCCCTGGCCCAGATTAGAGTTTTTTGAGACAGGGTCTCACTAGTCAGACTGGCCTTGAGCTCACTGTGTAGCTCAAGCTAGCCTTAAGTTTACAGTAATCCTCCTGCCTCAGCCTCCCAAATACCAGTATTACAGTTATGTGGCACTATGCTTGGCTAAAATAATCAGTTCTTCACAAATTCTTTCAAGAAGCAATATGGGGCCAGGGATTTAGCTCAATGGTTCTGCCACCTGCCTTGCAAGCGCAAGGCCCCAAGTTTGATCCCCAGTACCAAAAGAAGAAAGAAAAAGTAATAGAAGGAACACATCTCATCTTTCTGGGAACACATCTTATCATTCTGTATTATTCAGATAACAAAAGGAGACTAGTATATCTGAAGAAAAAATTATAGAATGTCTCTTATGAATAAAGATGGGAAACTCAAAATATTAGCAATTCAATACCAATGATATGGAGAAAAGATTATACACCATCCTATCAAGTGGATTTATTGCAGGAATGCAAGGTTGATTTCCCATTCAAGAATCTGCTACTGCATTGTATTGTATCAATAAGAATAGAGAACAAAGCCACAAAATCCTAACTGATGGCTAAAAAGCATTTTTTTTGACATAAAGGTTGAATACCCCTTCATGTTGAAAAATATTCATCAAAGTAGAAAAAGTTCAAAATTTCTTTAACCTATTAAAAAACATCTATGAAAAATCTACAGATAATTTCATGAATGAAGACCTGGGAGACCAGGCAGTATGCCCCTGAGAGGGCAGCGTGTGAAGGTGAGAGTGTGAAAGTACAGATCAGACCCCAGAAAGTTGCAGAAGCCAGGAGCATGGATCATCTGAGCAAAGTTGGCCCAAGAGAGAACCAATGAAGGCTGCAACCACCAGCAGTGCCATAGAGGCAGGGCCACCAAAGTCGTTTGTAATTCACATCTTCTTGCAGATTGCCCTGGTGCAAGACATAGAGATATAGGTTTAATGTTTGTCCTGCTGGATTTTAGTTTTTCTTTGGTCTCATTCCTTTCTATCCCCCTATTTGTA